TAAACAACAAGTCCTTGGAAAAATCTGACAAGAAAACACAATTTTCTTCCAAATTCCGTTAAGGATCATATAGCCACTCAAATATATATATATATATATATATATATATATATATATATATATATATATATATATATATATATATATATATATATATATATATATATATATATATATATATATATATATATATATATATCCCTATGTATAATAAGCATTATGATTATATAATTTAATTTTGGTTGTAACGCGTCATTTGATTGGATAAAAAAAATAGTTTATATCGTATAACCTGTGTTGCCTACGTCACAATGACTTACGTCAAAGACGTATAAATCCGCTTGACGTTACATTTAAAACATGTACAATTTGAAGGCATTTTTGAGGGGAAATCGTCTTTTTTTTCTACACCTAATGGTGGAAAATGAAATTATAAGGAATGAATTTAATAGCTACCCAAGTTATACTTATATAACCTGGGTTGGAACAGTTTACGCTTTTTTATAAACCGCTTCGCGGTTTAAAAAGCGTAAACAGCCCCAACCCAGGTTATACAGTATAACTTGGGTACAGTACCAACCAGACTCAACCTGACACCCAAGCAGTCCCAGAAAGCAGTCTCCGGGACTGCTCTGGGACCGCTGCGGGACTGCTCTAAAAAAGCAAACCCAGCAATCCCAGCAGTCCCTGGGACTGCTTTGTTCACCCATGCGTGAAAATGATTCTGAGTGACAAGAAAGGCCTGCCCCTTGTGTATTCTGAATTTTCAGGTTTCATTTTGTACAGTAGTTTTGTTTAGTTTCAGCAGAGAAGTTGTAAAAGTAAAATCAACAAGGATTTTTTTTCAAAAATTTAAGAAGTACGGTTAGTTACGGAAGGAAAATGGGATATTAATATACGCCAACTGCCGATTTCGCACCATTGCAGTGTAAAATCAATTAGAAAAATTAATTAAATCTTGGTAATAATAAAAGGTTGTTTTGCCAGTTTAAAAAAACGGAAGTCAGAAAATGATTTTTTTTTTAATCCGTGTATTTAGCGTTAATGCAGGTGTTTGAAACAAAACTATTTAATTAATTAAAGCTGTTAAGTTATGTACTCAAAGTTTACATTGTTCTACATGTATGTCCTAAAGGAGGAAACAATCACAGCATTAAAGTTTTAGAAAATATTTAAAGCTATATGCTGCACTGGAAAGTGATTATTTTTAAACTGTAAAGGCAGCTATCACGGAAAAAAAAATCCAATGCCTTTTTTACCTCTTCAAAATAAAACCTAATAATTAATTCAAATAAAGGAATCTTTTGCTATGAAATAATTTCCTGTCAAATAAACAATGTGAGCAATTATTAGTTGATTTTTTTCCGGGTTAATTTTTAACGTGTAAAAGGTTTTACTCAATATATTAAATTATATTTTTAAATAAATATTGTTGAAAATATCGAAATCTGTCTTTTATTTCTTATTTCTTTTTTTTTTTTTTTTTGTACGTTTAAGGAAAAACAAGATACACGTAACAACTGCATTGTCTGGCCGATTAAAAGCCGTACATGGTGAATACAATGCGTAAACACTTGGCTAAGTTTTCAATCGCCTTTGGGAATGAATAGCAGACAGTCGACGCGTGTTATTTAGGTATCAGTGTTACACATCACTGACCATGCTGGTCAACAATGGCATTTATTTCGTTCTTCAGACTTCAAAACCCTAGTTTTAATAAATATGGTGTAGATGTATTTCAGGATTATTTAATTTCTAAAATATCTGAGGTAGTCACTTGCATGATTTACATGTACATGCACACTGATGTAAGGGCTCGGGAAATATTTTAGTGAAATTGTTTTACACTGCGTAAAGATTCTTATAACAATAATTATATCGACAAGTCAATGAAAATGATAGCCAGTAAACACTATTAAGCAAAATTTGATAAAGAATTAACTGTCATCAGATTCATGATACACATGACTGTATATTTCTCAAGCTTCAACGTCAATGAAAAACGTATACGGAGTAACATGGCAATCGGCCTTGCTCCATAATTGTAGGATCTATTTCAAAGTCATTAAATTCTAGTCTAAAAATAAGCCATTAATTTCATTTAGCACATGATTAATTTTCTACAAAAAAAAATATACGGTAATCATTATCAATAAATCAAATTTAATAAACAATGGTTTAATTTGGTTACAAATTAAGATGCTACAGATGTATTTTTTTAGTGTGAAAGTCTCTTTTCTTCTATTATTATTATTATTTATTTATTTTTTACTTATATATACTGTAATTTTGTTAATTATTAAGAAATAATTGTCACCAAAGAATTGTAAATATGCTGTCCATGTAACATGTCTAACACTTTTTCTCCTAAAAAAAAAGAATTGTATCATTAAATTTCAACTGCCTTTATATTACTGACATTGTTTGCTGATACACTGTGTAATCTCAGTTATGACTAAGCTCCGCCCATTAAATTATTAACCCCGCCTACTGGGACTGCTTTCTGGGACTGCTTGGACTGCTCTGGGACCGCTGTGGGACTGCTCTGGGACTGGTTTAGTAGTCCCAGAGCAGTCCCAGATAGCAGTCCCCGGGGCTGCTCTGGGACTGCTATCTGTCAGGTTCGGTCTGGTTGGTACTGTAGGTATTAAATTCATTCAATAAGTAAACGCTTTTAAAATTGATTCAGTATATTGTATAAAAAGAATGCTACTTACAGAGAATATCAAGAACAACAAAAACAGCCACGGACCATCCAATAGTATTGCGTGCTGTACAAACATAGATTCCACCGTCTGATTTCTTTATTTCATCAAAATTAATCACAGAAGAAGCACTTAAAGTTATGTTCTCCCTTTTCCACTCAAATATAATGGCTGTAGATGGGTTTGCATCTTTTACAAAACAGCCTATAATAACATCCTGTTGCCCAAGCAAGACTTGTTTATGATCTTCAAAAACACCGACTGAGGGGATATCTGCAAAGATATGAGAATTATCAGAGAGAATGTAACTTTATAAAATAGTCATGTAAATGTATCAATCTAATATCAGGGAACTATAGAATTGAAAAACACAAAAAAAATGTTATTAGATCATGCAAATAATTTGCTTAATGTGTTTGTTGATTTATAAAATCATTGAACATATACATACATTGGATATTCAAAAATCGTTTTTCAGTTAGATGAGCATGTGCTGGTCCGTTCGATGCTGAACATTGTACAAAATGTCCATGCATAATGCGACTGATGAAAATAGTTAAGTTGCTGCATGTTAAGAAGGTTTTATTTGAAAGAGAGGTCGTCGACGATGTAATGTTTTCTAAGATGGGATATGGGCCTAATAGCCAGGAAATTGAAGCTTCAGGCCTACTTGCAGATGAACAGCAATCAAAAACTACTTCTCTTCCATCAGTGACATCAATTGTTTCACTAGCTGGTTGTAAGCTTATGTACTGCAGGGACACTGTAAATAGTGAATATATATATATATATATATATATATATATATATATATATATATATATATATATATATATATATATATATATATATATATATATATATATATATATATGAAGTACTAAAAATGACCAACGACACGAACAATAAAAATTGTCAAATTTTCGGGACGACCTGTCCCTTCCTCAGGACAAAGAAAAAAAGTTAAGAAGTTATAAAAACAAAGTATAGAGAAAAACAAAATCAACTAGCACTACTACTAAACTACCAAACACTAAATATTTACAGTGTTACATGTTTAATTTGATGTTTATAAACAGTTGTGAAGAAAGAAATCCGGAGCGCTATGAATTGCGTCCGGTTTATCGGGTGTACTCTGGTGAAGTGCGATTTACATAATTGAACGAATTAATTATCGCTAATTAATTACGACCATGTAGCAAACCGTACACTGTCTTATTCTCGCAAAATAGCGTAACTATACATGATAAAAAGAAATTAAAGAAAGATAATATGGAAGGGCAATTTTAAAGTATGAATTTGGATATATTATAAATTTGGAAATCGGATAAAAGAAATAAACAAAAATGTAAGCTATAAATATTTGGGTAGGTTGTTCCAGAATTGCTAATGCGAATTAACGGTAAAGTTTACACTATATAGAAAGAATGAACTTGTTTGTTACAATCCGGTATTGGGTCTAGTTTATGTTCATCCTGGTGAAGTCATTTAGTTTGATAATACCATTAGGGCGGAATGACTTCAGCCTGTGCATCCAGAACTTTTCCTTGCCTTTTCTCTGAGCGTCTGTCCATTTTGGATTATGGTCAATAACCACTACTGTCATGTCCTCCCATATGTGACCTTTAAGGTTGAAACGTTCCCCAACGGGTTCATTGAGTTTTTTGGTTCTAATGGTAGAACGGTGATTATTGACTCTCCTGCGGAGATCTCCTGTTTCACCAACATACTGTTTGGCGCAAACTTTGCAACTGATGAGATAAATGCAGTTGTCTGTTTGACAGGACAAATTCCCTAGTATTTTGTAGCTGCGGCCTGTAACGGGGCTGTTAAAGCTGTCTGTGTCAGAGCTGTGCTTACAGAGAAGACATCTTCTGTCAGAGCAAGTTTTAAAGCCCCCGTTAGGTAAAGGATTGTCCAGTCTGGTTCTTACTACCATGTCCTTTAGGTTCCTCGGGCGTCTGTATGCAGCCAATGGAGGCTGCTTAAAAACCTCTGCCATTCGTTTATTTGAATGGAGAATTGGCAGATTCTTTCGAAGGATACCGCTGAGGTTCTTAAGGACGGGATGGTATGTGGTTACCAGAGGGACCCTGCCGATATTGTCTTTTTTCCTTGTAGCGTAAAAGGTTTTGCCTGTCATGTCCCGCCATCTCATCAATAGCAGTTTGTACGGTGCGGGCATTGTAGCCTCTCTTGCATAAGTGGGACTTGAGGAGACCGCTTTGTTCCTGATATAAGGCAGGAGATGAACAGATGCGCCGAATTCTGGTGGCTAGACCCTTAGGCACACCCTTAAATGTGTGTGAGGGATGACAGCCAGTTGGCTTAAAATACAGATGGGAATCTGTGGGTTTTGTGTGGAGACTGAACTCGATTTCACCATCAGTCAGGGTAGATGTAGTATCTAGGAATATGTTTTTCGAATTAGATACGTCTATTGTAAATTTGATAGACTGATGAAAGGTGTTGGCAAACGAAATGAATGCCTCGAGGCTCTCGCGACATTTCACCCTTCATTTCTATATCATTCATCTCTATATCGTCAATGAAACGCAACCAGCTAAGGGGCCTAAATGGTGCTTGAAGTAGCAAGTTGCGTTCAAGTCTGCCCATGAAAATATTGGCATAAGATGGTGCCATTCTCGTACCCATAGTAGTGTCATTAACCTGCAGTAAATGTTCTCCATTAAACATGAAGTTGTCATACTTGAGAACATATTCAAGGAGCTTGGCAAGGGACTCGGTAGAAGGAATTTGTATGGATCTACTATCCCAGACTTCTCTACAGGCTTCGATACCCTCATTGTGCGGAATATTTGTGTACAAAGATGTGAAGTCCATAGTCACGAGAAGGGTATGATCTGGAAGGCCAGTAGAGGGCGTCTTGTTAATGTAGTCCGTGGTGTCCTTAAGATAGGATGGCAAATTCTCTACGTGTGGATGGAGATGTAAATCAATGTATTCAGAAATTTTCTTCGTGGGATGTCCAATTGCGCTAACTATAGGACGACCTGTCATACCTGGCATATTCTTTGTGTATCTTAGGAAGCAGATAAAATTGTCCTGGTCTATAGTCAATAGGATTGAGTGTCTCATAGACGTTGATACCAATCTCGTTTTTCTCAAACATTTCGTCAAGAGTTTTGGTGATGGCGGTGGAGAATTCTTTAGTAGGGTCAGAGTCCAGTTTCTTATAGAAACGCTCGTCTGAGAGTTGTCTATTGGCCTCCGACATGTACATCTCTTTATCAAGTACTACTACTGTAGAGCCTTTGTCTGCTTTCTTGATTACAATGTCATCCCGATTCTTTAATGATTGTAAGGCGGATCTTTCTTCCTTACTCAAATTGTCGGGAGCCTTGTCTGGCATTGAAAGGAGTTTCTCTATGTCTGACTCAACGGGTCAATATACGACTCAAGGGCTCCGCATTTGCCCGCAAGGAAAAGTTCTGGATGCACAGGCTGAAGTCATTCCGCTCTAATGGTATTAACAAACTAAATGACTTCACCAGGATGAACGTGAACTAGACCCAATCCCGGATTGCAACAAACAAGTTCATTCTCTCTATATAGTGTAAACTTTACCGTTAATTCGCATTAGCAATTCTGGAACAACCTACCCAAATATTTATAGCTTACATTTTTGTTTATTTCTTTTATCCGATTTCCAAATTTATAATATATCCAAATTCATACTTTAAAACTGCCCTTCCATATTATCTTTCTTTAATTTCTTTTTATCATGTATACTTACGCTATTTTGCGAGAATAAGACAGTGTACGGTTTGCTACATGGTCGTAATTAATTAGCGATAATTAATTCGTTCAATTATGTAAATCGCACTTCACCAGAGTACACCTGATAAACCGGACGCAATTCATAGCGCTCCAGATTTCTTTCTTCACAACTGTTTATAAACATCAAATTAAACATGTAACACTGTAAATATTTAGTGTTTGGTAGTTTAGTAGTAGTGCTAGTTGATTTTGTTTTTCTCTTTACTTTGTTTTTATGACTTCTTAACTTTTTTCTTTGTCCTGAGGAAGGAACAGGTCGTCCCGAAAATTTGACAATTTCTATTGTTCGTGTCGTTGGTCATTTTTAGTGCTTTATATAAATTTCCATCCGTGACCTTGTATCTACTTAGTAGATCCGACACTTAGGATATACAGTGTTGTTGGTTTTTAGTGCTTTATATATATATATATATATATATATATATATATATATATATATATATATAATATATTTCGTACAAGAAACGATGTAGGGACTCATTTAAAGGACATACTAATTTTCTTTATTTCCTTTCGTTATTTTATTCATTTATTTTTTTTAGGTTTATTTTTTTAATATTTCTCAGAATGAAAGTTGTTTTGAGGCTTAACAAAAGTACGCTAAGGGAATCAATATTACAACTAAACTCCAGAATCAATTCAACTAATAAACCTCAGTTTTGCATAATATCTTCTTTTAAGGTATCCGCATGCATTTCCATGGTATATTTTATCATAAAAATATTACCAAGTTATTTTATTAAAAACTGTATTTTTTTTCATTTTTTCTTAATGCAACGTTAATAAGTTAATTAGAGCAGGGAAAATATAATAATTTTAAGATTCATTTCTATAGTCAGATAACCAATAAAAATCCTCCTTTCTAATGTACAAATTTTCTTTTAAAAAAATTCAGAAAGACAAACAAACAATTATAGAAACATCGCATGCCACGACTTCATTGACAGATTTAATAAACCTGAAATGATAGAGGATTTCAGAGTGAATTCAAAAAGCATGACAAACTTTCACTAGAATATTATAGTTTGTCTTGGAATGACTATATGTACCATCACAGGATAACTTAAATTGTCTTTTACTGTATTGTAAAATGAAACGATTTAAAAGAGATGCCGAATTGTCAACTTTATTTGTACGAGTAATCTTTAAAACATTACTTAAAAATCACGTTTTGTAAATGCATTTGCCACATATTGAATTTTTTTTAAATTTTGAAATATCGATGAAGTAACCGCAATGTTATTTTTGACATGATACATCTTATGATTGAAATATACAGAACTGAATAGTGCTTGTTCCGCAAAAAAAGGGGGGGGGAACGACATACTTTTTGGTTCATGCATTAGAATTTAAGAATAAAATACATTAATCAATTTAATGACTGTGAGGTCTTAAAGAGACAGAAATCAGCTTCTTGCATTTGAAACATTTCTAATACAGATATATTTTTTTCATGAACTCTTGGACGAGGGGTCGAATTATTTAACAAGCCTGCTAGCGTTATACTATGGATCATCATTTATATGAGAGTAGAAACGACTTTTTAGTACACTATTTCTAACAAACGAACAGATATACACTGTATTCCTGAAATTAATAAGTAAGACCACACTCGTATGTATCGGCTAAGATATCTTTGCCAGTTGTACACGTTTGATTTGAATGAAATTCTGAAATATGTAGGCATATTTGAAGACAAAGCATACGTTTATGTTATTTGTGTTCAGTTCATTATTTGCAATGTTGTAATTTTCTTCTCTAACCATAAAATTATTGTGTATTTTTTATTGATGTAACTTCCACATGTATACAAGTTATGTGTCAGCCCTAGACACATATTTACACAAAGAGGAATGGTTTGAATAATCAATTGAAATAACAATATGAGCATTATGAGTTTTTATAATGCTCATTTTGATATATATTATGCTAATAACCATTTTCCTAATTCTGTAGTTGTATTTGTATTCTAGTTTCGCCATGGTGTGTTCAGAATAGCAAAAACTATGCGAGTTGAACTTCTACAATTATTAGAAACCTTAGTCCTTCTTATTGAACTCTGCAAAATGTCCAGTATCTGTACAAACACAGCACATTTCATTTACTCTTTTTCTTGAAAAGGGCAGTATGCCTAACTGAAAACTAAACCATATGATATGTCCAATATTTTTACATGGTCACTACTCTTACTTATGAAGCAATAAACCATTATCACCTGCAAATGAAATTCATGTTTCCAAGTTGATTCGATAAACAATAGCATGTTAAATTCTACGTGCGACTTATTTATAAACGAGGCAGGCTATTGACAGATTACTTGATGATACATGGATATCAAAAATCTTGTTTAAAGTCAACATTTCCGCAAATTCTATACTCAGTACAGTGACCATGTTTGCAATTATAATCTGTCGTTAGGTCGGATGTTGAATGACGTTTTCATCTGTTCGGCCATTGTTTTCACACTGTATTGTCTACAGATATTTCGTCCATCCGATAATGACAAAAAGAACACGGTGGGTTTGGCCGGTCGGTAGGGGATGATTACTCCTACAAGGCACCTGATCCCATCTCGATAAAGGGAAATTCTGTCAGGGTACATGCATGGAACGACAAGATAAACGCTCTTTAGGAAACGATCGGACAAGATAGAATTGACGAGAATAACTTTGTCGATCCTATAGGGGTTGAAAGTGAAATACATGTATAAATAAATAGCACTATCAACTTAGATAACTTTTTAATTATTTTGTATATACCATCACTAGGCCTTTCTCAGTGTTATATTTGTTTATGCAGAAAATAGCTACAAATTACTTCTACTGATCAAATCTAAAGTGTTCTTAGGCAAAGATACTGAAAATAATTTAGATTTAAAAAAAGCAATGTAACAATTAGATAAAATGAGAGAGAATGATATAAGACGGTAGATTATACATACCTGTAATGAGCAAGTTAACATTAGCAATCATTGAAGTCACACTGTTTACAGCTTTGCATGATATTGAAGAATCTTCATTTGGTGATATTACTTCAATGCAAAAGACATTTTGAGAGAAATCACAGCAAGTACTGTTGATGCTTTCTTTGTAGACAGTGCACATTTTGCTAAGTGCATTAGCACCAAAAACAATTGATGTACCAATTTTCATCTCAACGAGAAAATAACTTCCTTGTACATGACATGTCACATTCCCATTTCCTCCAAATTCAACATTGATCGTGGGAGAAGGATGTATTTCTACTGTTAACTTGCCTAAAAATTGAAAATTCAGCTCATAATTATTGTAATAAAACAAGCTGATTAAGGGAATTCGTGTCCCCCGCTTAATGAAAAAAGAAAAGGATGAAAGTCAAAATTATAAGAACAATGCAGATAGAGAAATATATAAAGATTGACCTAGAATTTTCAGCTGTTAACCATACGGTCAATGAAGGTCTTTCTAAAAATTTGTACATGCATGTAATATTTAATTTCTGACCTCTGTGTGTTCCATCAAATAACCTCAAAATAAATATTTTATGCATGATATGAATAACTAACCGTAAATCTTTCCCCCTCAAAATCAATAGTGCGCTTCTTCAAATAAATGTATAATAAATATATTTTTACACCTTTGCTTGACCTCTATCTGTTTCATATCAAAATATATAGGTGGTCTTATTTTACTCACTTTGGAGTTAGGATATGAAATTTCAAGGAAAAGCTAAAAGTTTGGAAACGAATTCAAAATAATATACACAGCATGACAGTGGGAGGAAGGAAAAATTGAGAGATGAGCGGACGGACACAACCTTATATCTACGAGTTCAATGAAAGGAGAGGGGGGGGGGGCAAAAAATATACTAAAAACGAGTCCTAAAAAGTATTCTGTATAAATAATCATAAGCTATAATGAATCATACGCTAATCTTGCCACAAAATAGTACTTGACATTCGAAAATAGGGTGATAAGTTTCTCGTTGGCCTGTATGTTTATTTTAAATTGATATTTTTTTTCCTGATTAATTCACATTGAAAAAATAACAATTACTGGAGGTTTGTTCCTCCTACGCATTTATTGAATACGCAGCACTGGTAAGGCGAACCGTGATGAAATAAATGGAACATAGAACTGTACAAATAGATACATTTTTAAACCGAATTTCTTTTCATAAAAAAGGAATTACATTATCACATGACTTTCATATTAATTGAAATAACAGTATAGTTAGTATGTATTGAATTTGTTTTTGGTCACCTGATTTGAAAGTCACGTGATAAATGCATTGAATGTGTACTGCATGGAGGTCATTATCAAATTTCAATATCGCAAGTGCATATCCTAATTCAATTTAAAAATATAAGAGATAAATTGTTTTACATATATTGTATTTTCTAGAAAGTGCTTCGAATTTGACTTTAAATAGAATTTGCATTTTAATAGTTAAATTGCAGACAATAGGTACAATTTGAAATATATGAGTCCTTTACATTGAATTTTATGTATAAATTCAGTAATGCTCTAGCTTTCACGAAAGCAGCAAAACTTTACAAGTTAAGAAATATTTTCTTTATCTGTTTTCGAAAAA